TTCTTGCAAAAAAAGCTGTAGAAGCTGGTTTATATGTTCATCCTTACATTAAGACATCATTATCTCCAGGATCTGGAGTCGTTACTTATTATTTAGAAGAAAGTGGAGTGATTCCTTATTTATCAAAATTAGGATTTGATGTTGTTGGTTACGGATGTATGACTTGTATTGGTAACAGCGGTCCCCTTCCAGATATCATAATTGAAACTATTGAAAAGGTAATGGAACATTTATATAAAACATTAAATATTTAATTTTATATTATATAATTTTAATTTGTATTTCAATCATTAATTTTTCATTTTATATAATTAGAATGAACTTGTATGTTGTGGTGTATTGTCCGGTAATCGAAATTTCGAAGGTAGAATTCATCCAAACACACGAGCAAATTATTTAGCATCACCACTTTTAGTAATTGCTTATGCTATTGCTGGAACGGTAGATATAGATTTTCAAAAAGAACCCCTTGGTAAGGATATAAATTAATTTTATTTTATGATTTTTCGAAAATTTCATTATGTCAAAAATATATAGGGCATCGAATGGATGGCACTCCGGTATTTTTACAAGATATTTGGCCTACTAGAGCAGAAATTCAAGTCGTGGAACAAAAATATGTAATTCCGGCTATGTTTAAAGAAGTTTATGATAAAATCGAAAAGGGTAGTACTAGTTGGGCAAATTTAGTAGCTCCTAATGGTAAATTGTATCCATGGGATCCATCTTCTACCTATATAAAACATCCACCATTCTTTGATAATTTACAAAAGGTAAATTATATGTTATGTTTTTATATATTTTTATTTTATATTTAATAGTTATTTAGTTTATTTTCTTTCATAAATTTTTCATGCGTTTAAAATAATTTAATATTAATACTTATTATAACTAGGAATTACCAGAAATAAAATCAATTACTAAAGCACGTGTTCTTTTAAATCTTGGAGATTCTGTTACGACAGATCATATTAGTCCGGCTGGTAGTATTGCACGCAATTCTCCAGCAGCACGATATCTTGCAAATCGTGGGTATGTTCAAAAGATAATTAAAAGTGTTTGTAAATATTTACTTTATTTAATTTATTTTTCTTTATTTTTAGATTAACACCAAAAGAATTCAATTCTTATGGTGCGCGTAGGGGTAATGATGATGTAATGGTACGAGGCACATTTGCTAATATTCGTTTAATGAATAAATTTATCGGAAAAGCTGGGCCACGTACGATTTACATTCCTACTAAGGAAGAGGTTTGTAAAAATAGAAATTGATTGAATTAGACTGTATAATATTCTTGTTTTTTTAGATGGATATTTTCGATGCAGCTGAATTATATATAAAAGATCAAACGCCTTTAATAATTCTTGTTGGCAAAGAATATGGATCTGGATCATCAAGAGATTGGGCTGCAAAAGGACCATATCTTCTTGGAATTCGGGCAGTTATAGCTGAATCATACGAAAGAATACATAGGTAAATTTTTTTTAACAAATACGAAGAAATATATTATATTTATAAACAAAAAAAATTATAGAATTATAAAAAATGTAAATTATTTAAAGATATTTAATATAAATATTTTACATTTAACAATTTTTTCTTTTTTTTATGATATTCCAGGTCAAATTTAGTAGGTATGGGTATTATTCCACTAGAATATCTACCTGGACAAAATGCAGAATCTTTAGGATTGACTGGTTATGAAGTTTATAATATACCTATTTCTGAAAATTGTCAACCAGGTCAAAAAATTACCGTTAGCACGGATAATGGTAAAAGATTTGAAGTAATTTTACGATTCGATACTGAAGTAGATTTAACATATTTTAAACACGGTGGTATTTTAAATTACATGATTAGACAAATGCTTTGATAGTATTATCAATTAATTAATAAGTTATAAATATTATGAAAAGTTACTTAATATAATACTTAATTTCGGGTTTAGATTTGCAGCAGTCTGAATGTATTCATGTTCTTATATTCTTATTTATAGTAAGAGAAATTAATTATAACGAATGTTACTTCTTTGCTATAAAATATAAAAAAAAAAAAACAAAAAAATATATATATATTAAATACATTAAATACATTAAATACATTAAATCTGTTTGAATAAATATATTTATTTTTGCGTATTACAAACTTTTGCCTTCAAATTTTGTCAAATTACGAAATTTCTTATATAATAGATATTGAAAGCTATTCGAGTGATATATTAATTATAATTTATGAATGATCGTGCAATATTCATATAGTAAATCAAATTTCTTACATTTTATAATGATTGTTTTTAAAAAAAGAATCTTATAAAAATTAATACTTGTTAACATAATAAAGTGTTAATAATTATTGCAATTGTGACTTTTTAATCTACAATTAATTTTCCAACATTGAAAAAAGTAAAATATTTTAATCTATATCAGTCAATATTTCTTATTTTGTATTCAATATTATGCATTTATTTATACAATCCAGTTTGAACCAGTTCTGTTTGTTCCTAATTGTCCGTATTTAAGAATTTCTTTATAGTTTGATTCTTTGTAAGCATATCCTGAGAATTTCAATTCAACTAAATGTTGATCTGTTGCTCCATATAAATATGTATTATCAAAGCTTAGAGAATAAACGGGACTGGACATTCTACGAAGATTCATGAAATAGAACTATAAAAAGAAAAACACACTATGAGTGTGTTATATAATATATATATAACTGAATTGTATGTTTAAAATACATTATAGATACTGACTTGTACATAATTTTTCTGTCTTTGATCCCAGAGAACAGCTTTGCAATTAAATTTAGTTCCAGTGATCATAGTATACTGATAATCTGATGATATACAATATAAAGTTGCATCTGTTGGATCTGGCCATGAATACACACATGTTCCCGTTCTAGAACAATTATTATTTAATAATGTCAAATTTAAAAATAATAATGTTATAATAACATTAATAAATTTTAAATAATTATTAATTATTAAATATTATTTAATTAATAATTAATAATTATTAAAACCATGAAAGAAAATTTTTAATATTCTAATATATATACATATGAAATATTTAATAAATATTATTTACCTTAAATCCCATTTCCGGACATAAGTATCATATCCACAAGTAAGTAGAATTTGAGGACTATCCCAAACCATATCTAATGTTCCTGCACATCTTCTTTTATCTGGCTTTAATATATCAGATTCAGTATAACTAGAATTATTATAAAGTATAAATTTTATAAAATAGGACATTTCCAACAATTTGTAATTTATTATTTAAGTAATAACTTACTATTCAAGATCAAATATATGAAGATAGGATCTATCACTATCACCAGCAGAACCAACAGCAACTTTTTTATTTGTTGGATCTGCTGAAAGAGAACATACCCACTCCTCAATGTTTATTGTTGCCAAAGGTACATTTAAAATCTTTTGTCCAACAGGACCCCAAATCTAAATATTATTATAATATTATTTTATAAAGAATAATTTCAATTATTAATAATATAAAAGTTATTATTTGTTATTTTTAATATAAAAATTATTGCTTGTTATATGTAAAGTAATATTTAAAATTTAAAATATTACCTTCACAGTTCCATCACTAGAACCTGATATAATTGCACTAAAAGTTTCATCTAATGCATTTACATTTCTAGAATGTGCTCTATCTATACTAAAGTAAAAACCTATATTTTGATCACACTGTGATTTTGTCCAAAATTGTATACTTCCATCTCTGAAAACAAATTTATATATAAATGAAATAATAATGTATAAAATATTAGCTTAATTATTTTCTTTTATTAGTAATTTAATAATAAGTTTACAAGTAAATACCTGTGACCTGTAATGATATATTCATTTTTGACAATAAATTTGCATATATCACTTCTAACATTATCACTAATAAATATGCGATTATTTTCTTGAAATGGTTCTATACGTTTAAAACCATACAATTGATTTCCACCACTCCACCATAAAATATCTTTGGTTAATTGAATCCTTGGTATAAGTTTTCTGTTTTGAGAGAAGAGAATTTTCTTCTCATATTTACCATATTGCCAATTGTTTGAAACATGCCACTTTGTACGCAAACATAGTAATGAATTGCATCTATTAAATTTAAATATTCAAACCTTAATAAAATTTTAATATAACTTCAATACATCTTATTATGTAGAATCTTTAATTGATATTTTAATTATTTAAAAATAGAATTTGTATATTAATTTTTATTTCGAAAGAATTTTCGAACTGATCCTTCACTTTATCTTATCTTTTATATTAATTATCAATATATTATGGATAGTATTATGGAACATTATGGAACTGAGAACCATCTGGAGCTTTCTAAATTTTGTATATATATTAAGATAAAAGCTTCTTGTTTCTTGAATCAATGTATATTATGAACTTTGTAACACATAGAACTGTGCGAACAAAATCACGTCATCGATGACAACTAAAAACTGTGTCAAAAATAATATATTATATACCGAAAAAATTCTTAAACATAACCTAACGTACCTTTCGCGAAACTGTCTCGAAGTTTGATTTGTCACAATCGGTTGTTTACTCTTCTTAATCCAAAGTGTTTCTTCCCGTATAATATCGTAGAAACGTGTACATACTTCACTAAGTCGCACCAAATCAAACGCATGGCAATAATCGAAAATTAAAATCAAAACATCAGATGGCAAAGTGTCCAAACGCCACACACCTGTCATTTTGTCAAGCCAATCACGTGGCGACCAAAGATACAACAGCTGTTCAACTTTAGCGTTACATAAATTGTCACATGTAAAAAATTTTTTTTTCTTAACAAAGATATAATATAATAAGAATTAAATCAAGAATATATAAAATTTTATTTATATTTTTATTTAATTATTATATTATTATTTAATTATTATATTATTTATATATTTATAATATATTTAAAATTGATAAAAATATTTATTAATAAAATAATAATTATTAACAACAATATTCATTTGCATTGCAAAAATATGTCTAATTTATATTTGTAAAATTAGCTCTCTGCAATTGTACATTTTTTTCCTGCTTCTTCAGGTGTTTTCCATTCTATATTATTCTTTGTATCTATAATAAATGATATTTTTTTAATAATAATAATATAAAAAATAAAATGTTCAAGAATTTTCAAGATAATTTAATAGAATTATAAATTAATAAATTTATTACCTGGTATCATATCTTTTAAATATTTTAGGTACAAAATAAAATATATAAATGCTGTTATAGCGGCAATCGATGAAAATATTCGTAATGTTGTTACTCCTCCAAATAACTTGTATAATATTCCACCTATTAAACTTCCAATTGCAAAACCTAAAATAATATTAATATTTTTATAATATCTAATATATAAATATATTATCTATAATATTTAAAAAAAATACTATAATATCTAAAAACTATTTGTTTAAAAACCAATTAATTATAAATTTTATTTACCAAAACCATCATCCATACCAGCTACAATTCCCTGAATCGTAGCTGATGTACCAGGTGGAGCAATTTTGCTTGCATAGGCAACTATCGTTGTATAACAAAGTGCATAAGTAGGTCCTTGCATAAATAATTCAATTGGTATTACCCACCATGGATTTGATGCTAATGAAATTAATCCAAGTCGTAAAGCATAACATATAAAACAGAATGTAAAAGTATATCCGAATCCTAATTTCTTTAAGATTTTGCCTATAAAAAAGTATGAATAAATATCAAAATTACATAAAATATAAAATTTAATTATATAAATAAATAACTTACCAGAGAAAGAAAAAAATATTACTTCACCACCTAGAGTTTCTGCGGCCACAATTAAACCTTCTATTAATTTAATTTTACTCATGCAATTAGTTGTCATAGCAAGATCTTCCAAGTACCTATTTGAAACATATTATTTTTGTATGACTCTTTCATGTTTTTTTATTTATCATATATTTCGAAAAATTTTAATTATTTAAACAAAAGTTATATTATTGAAATAAAAATTTACCAAAATAAGAAATAAATTATAAAGCTATCAAGAATGCCAGCAATTGTTGTAAAAGAGAGAAATATAATTATAGATTTCAATTTTAAAAGTTTTATAACATCTTTCAATATATTTGTGGACGCTGTCATTAATGGTAGCTGTAAAAATTATTTTTAATAAATTGTTTATAACTAAAATATTATTTTAAATGTTATAATAGATACTTACATCCAATTTTTTACAACAAAATAAGTCAATAATTGTAAATATAAGAATAAGTAAAAATGCAGGTGTATATGTTTTAATAATTTCTCCTTTAGACCAATAATCTACTGCATAACCAGCTAAAAAAGCTGAAATTCCAAAACCTATAGTTCCCCAAACACGCTGTCTACCATATCCCATTTGACCATTTTCACCTGAAAAATGAATAACAATAAACTAAGATTAAATTACTTATATTTATTATTAATAATTCTAAATAAAAATAAATGAAATTATATAATACCTAATATATCAAAACAAATTGCATCACTCATACAATTGCTTACATTGAAACCAATATTACCAAGAGACATTAATAAAACAAAACTCCAAAAAGTTATAGATGTATATAGACAGTAACTATCTTCAAATTTATCACAGATAACATTGCAATTATTATTTTCGGAGCAATATGAAGTACTATTTTTATCAATTAAACATGTGGAATTTGAGACAAAATTTATTTCTTCATTAATTGCTTGAAATTGTATTGATAGAGAAAAATTTTTATTTGTACAAGTCCAATGGCACATAGCATTCTTTACTCCCATACATAAATATGGCTTAGAAATATCCTAAAGTAGAAAAATTAAAAAATGTTTAATTTTTAATTTGTATAAATAATTTATATAATTTTTTGTAATTAAAATAAAAAATTACTTGTGGTGTACAATATGGTAATAAATCACAGGATACATTATTAATACTATGATCTGGAAAAACTGGACCTGGAAGCACTGATAAAAAGTACATACAAATATAACAACTACTTGTTGCTGTTAGTAATATAATAAAAATTGTTTTTCTCCAAGAATAAAAATAATCCACAAGAAAGCCAAAAGTTGGTTTAGCAATTAAAAATAAAATTGGTAAAATGGCTGTAATGCTGCCCATAATTAATGCAGAAATACCAAGTTGTTTGCCATATACTGGTAAAAATGGAAGAATTGGACCCATTGCTATAATTAAAAATAATATGAGAATAATATAATAAAAAATATATGTTTAAACTTAATTATTAATACTTACCAGCCATAAAAAAGAAATAATGTGCCTTAATAGGCAATTGTATGTAATTTAACTTCATTCTTTATAATTTTATCTTTATAATTTTAATAGTAATAAATAAATATTAAGAAAAAACTTTTTTAAATATTTAAATTTAGACAAAACAATGTATTTAAATTCAATTGTTAATAAACAATATACAATAATATGATAAACAATTGTTTCCTGCAATTAAAATATATTAGTATAATTAATTAAAAAGAATTTATTATCTGAAAATAATAAGTGTATTAATAAAACAAATATAAATTTATTAAGATAATATGACATAGAGGAAGAAAACAGATATGTTATCATATGTAGATACAATTTAAAAATACCATTAAATTTGAATAAAAATATATATAATATTATATTTTATAACATATATTTTTTCAAAATTATTTAAATTTTGAAATTTTAAATAAATAAAATTTCAATGTAACAAAGTAATTCTATTAATATTTTAAATTCATATTATTTAAATTCATTTTTAAGTGATTTTTTGTTTTTTTATTTTAAATAAATAACGACATAATAAATACCGTTTTTATTATCAGATTCTATTTATATAGTCCATCTTTATATAAATCCATTTTGAAATTAATATAAGTTGTTTTTTTATAATAAAAAAGATTATTATTATTTAGCAACAATATTTGTTCATGTTTCATTTTTCATATTTTTCATATTGTAGAAATAAAATGAACTGTCAATTTTTCGAAGATCATACTAATATTTTAAAAATAAATCACAAGTATTTGATATTTCGCATGTACATAGCTATACTAGCGCTATTGCTATGTAGTGGTAATATCTCGAAATATTATGAGAGAGAATAATCTTCTTGCTAGTTAATTTTTAATTCGAAGTATCACTAATGATAATATATATATACATACATATTGCTTGCTTACATTTTAATGTATTTAATATCTATTATTAGAAGTCGACGTTGCCTTTATGTTACTAGCAATTAATGTAATACAGATATGTCTATACAACTCTGAAATAAAAAATATGAAATGAAAAATGAGAATAAGAAATATTGTCTTTTTTTATTTCATTTTATTACAGATGCATGTTGTCTTCGTGCAATATTATTGGTATATTGATATTGGTATATTGATAACAAATTGTATATATGTATATATATATTATGTATGTTTTAACATGATTTTATCATTACAGAGTAACTAATAATACTACATTTGAACAGTAATTAATAAAACTATTTCGAGAAAATTATTCTATTTTATCAAATACTATAAATATTTTATATAAATTGCTATATATATCTCAAGGCCATGTATTTACAAAATATTAAATTAAAGTTTATAATATTTATAAACAATAAATTTGTTAATATGTTTCTTTCTTATAGATTTTAATGATTTTAAAATATATCATAAAAATCATCATTTTGAACAACTTTTTTTTTTTTTAATAATGATAACTCTTTCTTTAATGATGATTGATTTTAGTTTTCGAATTATTTGCAAAAAACTTTTCATATATCTATTAAATTTTATCTATATGTATGCTCGTAATATTTATGCGATCATTATCATTGTTTATATAAATGCGATATTATATGCGATCATTATCATTGTTTATATAAATTATAAATAAAAAATGAGATTTTCAATTTCTAAACATAATTAAACGAATAAATTTTTATTTTAGAATAGACAACTATGGTAACTATATTTCAATCTAATATAATCAATATATATAAAATATATACATATATATATAATATATATTTTATATATATATAAAATCTTAAATTTAATAAAAGATAATTTAAGACTTACAATAAAACTATTTTGTTTTCATGAATTGATTAAGTTCTGAAAATGTTTTAAAAAAAAGAAAAATATTACGTCGTAAATAAATAATAGTTAAAGTTTCAATTATCTTACTTGCACATTATTAGATAATTATACACATTATACACTTCTATCAATACTGATTAGTTATCTTATTTGAATAGAACTCATTTTATCAAAAATATATAACAAATCATTTCTAAATTTATATTTTTACAAATACTTTTCTTTTTTTAATATATATATATATTTTAAATAAATATGGAGAATATTATTATTTTAAATGAAATGTAATTTTTTTGTTAAATCGAATAATTGATTTACTTGAATTACTTTACAATTTTTTTTAACATCTATTTAAATAATTCAGTAGATATCAATACATAAAATTTAAATTTTTTAATATTTTTAAAAAAAATTTAAAAATTTTTTATATTTTTGCAAATTTTGAATAATATTTCATAAAAATTCGAATAAATATGTATTTGCTTTAAGAGAAAAGATATTACATATCGATGATAATAATTTGCTTCCAATTGTTTCTGATATTTTTAATATTAAAATAATTAT